AAGACGGCCGGACTTCTCCTATAATGGAACATTATCAATGCGTATAGCTCTGTCAACAACAGTACCTTATCAAAGTGTTTGAACATCATGGAGGATTCTCTGAGGGCTTCTTCGGTAACACCAGATTGATTACGGGCAAACGAGGAAAGGAGCAAACAAGGGAAACAAGTAAGTAGGGCCAGCAGATAATCGATGACAGGAGAATTCCCCAGTAATCAATCGATAACCTGTAAGTTGATGAGAGTAGACGGAAAAGGGAAAAATCGATGAAAACTAACAAACAAAGGGATTCATGAAAGCGTTATTTGGAAAGAGTTACAACACGAGGATAAACAACATAACATGTAACACCATTAGCAACGGATGTGTACTCCTGTAATGTCCTATTCCTCGTCTTATCATCCTCCTCTATCCATGTACTTGTCACTGTCAATCATAGTCAATAAGCAACTTATTCGAGAGGTACGGCTATGAGAATACCTTCAGAAGAAGTTATTCATTGACTAAGATTGTCTCGTACGTGATAAGAAAAAGGTGAACCCGGTAGCTATCTGAAACAGCAATGTTCGCAGAGTTATAAACTAACTGCACCTCTATGGAGTAGTCTATGTCTAACTCCTCTCAAGTCATATGAACCAGAACATCCTGAAATATATCAACATCAATAGAAGTTACAAAGAAATTAATTCTCACCAAGTTGCATCGAAGATGTGTGCCTGGATAGCAAGACCCTTCTGCATTGGCTTCCAAGAACTTGAGGAAACCAATGAGGGTCAAGACAACAGGATGCAACTATCATGAATAAATTGCATACCAATAATCTGAGAGAAGATGAAATAAAACAGAAAACGAGCTGAATCACAAACCTTACATTGGAGATGTCGATAGGGAAGCAGAACTCTTATCTCTTCTGATTATGAGAGCATTCCCTTGCTCAAACATTTCTGGAGACGACAAGCTCGGCACTGATTACACTACGCTTCGTCGACTACACAAGAGCCAGTACCAACTTGACACCTGAAAGATCAACATTTCCCCCTGAATTTCAGAAATATCCACCTGTACACCAAACGTCGTCGAAAAACCCAGAACGGCCATTGCAAGCGAGGATACCTGTAATTCATAAAATTATTATTCTTAGCTTACGATTTAGAATGCATCATAGAAATATGTGTTTATGCTTGAAATCTTCAATAGAGGGTAACTGTTAACTGTGACCTAAACAAGAACAATACACATTAAGCTACCACCTGTTGTAAGCTCAGGGACAGCTCAACGAGTCATACAGGAAGGTATAGCGAGTTGATATGAAAGAACAATCGAGAACAGGAGAACAAAATCATAGTGTTAGAGTAACGGAATGACTAATGTACAGAGGTGAAGAGAACAATAGATCATAGGTATCGCACGTAACATGGAATCAAGAAGTAACAAGGATAATGCACATCAACTAGGAGAATGAAAGATTCGGTCTCCTCGGTTGCA